CACACATACACACACACACACACACACACACACACACTTTCAGACTGAAATAATATAGAAAAGAAAACAGAATGTGTTGTGCGCACTTGAGGAACACACCCACAGATAAAACACTGTCAGACAAAGGACAAATTAATGTTTCTACCCTTTGATCTTTCCGAATTGTGCCCCAGCTACAACACTCTCTAGTACAGTGTGTCACAGTTAAAGGGCGAGGGAAAGAATGAAAGTCTCAGGAATTAGGTCAAGACTTAAGATAAAAGCAGAGATAACCTCAACAGCCAGACAACTGATCTCAATGGTTTTCCTGCGTAGTTGACAAAATGCTCGAAAGTTTTTTAAAGGACAGTACGGACAAGGGAGATATTAGCAGAAAGCATAATATTGCATCGTTTATTCGAACCAATAGATTCTTCATAACGACTTTAAGAGTAGGCTAGTAGGGCGTTCTTCCAAACTTATACACAAGGATTTTTTAAAATAATGTATGATGTCTTACGCCCCCGTTGACACAATTTAGTTCATTAAGGGGGTGGACCTCGACCCTGCCTAATTTTACTGCCTGTCATGGCTAACCCAGGCTTAGAGGGATGCAGCACCCTAGCAGAAAGACGGAGGTACTCTAAAAAATGTCCCTCCTTGGGAATCGAATTCGCACACAGTGAAGCGCCTAACCTCTACACCACAGACGTCAGTCACAAGTTACAAAAAAGAAACAACAACCCACATCAACCCAGGTAAGGCCCTTTTAGAATAGTGTAAAAGATTGACGAGAGATTAGTCTTGGAAGTTAGAAAAAAGGAAAAGCCAGTCCGTGGTGCTCTTGATCTATTATTTTTGAAAGGTCAGTCTGTAGAATGCAGCTCAGAAAACGTGTTAGCGTGTTTAGAAAATATAATTTATTGAGAGGTAAACCCCTATGTTCTTGATTTTCTTGTAAAGCTAAAAAAAATATATATGGGCATAATAAATTGGCAGGTCAGGCATAAAAGATAAATCTGTTCACAGTGCAGTGTTCAAAGACTCTATGATAACATTTTATAAAACACATTTTGGAATGTTATATTACACGCTAAAATGTATTTCTTTTATGTGCAAATATGAGAACAAAAAAGAGTAGAGAAAAAGTCTACTTAGAGTCCGTTCAGTAGGGTGTTCCAAACTTATACAAGGGTTTTTTAAATATTTATAATGCATTTTTTTACGCAACCATACACCCAAAGTCATATCTTTTCATTTCATCATACTCTGTATCTGGTCATACCCTGCCAACACTGGGTGATCTTTGGGTGGGTAATCGAGCGTGGGGTGTCAATAAAACCAACATTTATCGCGACTTGCCCTGATTAAAGGAAAGTACAATCTCGGGCCACGGTACATTAAATGAGGCATCATGGTGAAATCAGGCGCTCGTAAAAATAATGAAATCGAAGATGAAATCGAAGATGAAATCGAAGAAGCTGGACGTTTCCCCCCAGTTTTAGCAATTTTCATCGAATTATATTTTGTTGTCGTTTATGTCCATATAAAAACAGATTACACGTGAATTTTTCTTTTAAAAAACAACAGTTGATTTAAGTTGCAATTTTTCAGTTTTCAAGGACTTTCAAGATATTAAAGTTACCAAACTTTGGCGGTTATTTTCATGCTAAATTTACCACTGAAGCCAGGCGACCCCATCTCCTTCAATAACAAACATCTCGACTGCTATTCAAAATAGATGGGTATTTTTTTTCATAGAAAGCAAGGCAAATTAATATGCTTTCAAAAATTATCAGTAACTCAACATGCCCAAACAAAATGACCAGCGCCTGATCTCACGTTGTCGGGACACCACTAATCAAGTAAACATCGTGGCCAGTGGTACAAAGACACTGTCAAAACAAAACTCTCTCATAATAGAATGTTCATTCACATTTATTGCACTGACTACGGTATTGTTGTTCTATTGGTGACAATCAGGACTATTCAACATTAATGTCTATTTTTTTTTCAGTAAAGAAAAGAATTTCTGTTGTGCTAACGACACTGTTATGAAGTAACATGGACCCATCTAGTAAGCCGCAAACTTGATACATGTAATATTATGTTTTCTATTTTCAAGGAAAAACATGGGCATTAGATAGTTTAATCATGGAGAAGTTTGTGATTCTCACTGACTTTAAAGTAGTTTGTAGTAGTCGGTTTCGGGTGGGGGGAGGGGAGGTTGCTTTCTGAATGAACTCTTGCCATGTGAGATAGACCTACTTTCCCCATCTTAGCTAGATCTAGTGTGTTCAAGAATAGAAAAACATCTTCTCGCCATACATATTGCCCACTGCCTCCCCCCTCCCCCCCCCCTCATCCATCCCTATCCATTTACTCCTCCTCACCACCAGCCAACCCCCCCCCCAATTCCCATCCCCACTCCTCCACTCCATTGTTACCTTCCACTGCCTGCGCGTTTCGCTCAGGTCCGTTTTTCCCCACCAAGTCAATGAGAGAGATTTGCCTACTGTTCCGGTCACAGCTCTGTCCAAAAGAAGTCTGAATTCCTAGAAAATCTAAAGTTTAAAAAAATCCCGTGTCCCTATTTAGTGCCTGGTGTTCGTAGGTTACATAGAAAGGGTGTCAACAGGCTAGTCAATTATTGTTTTCAGAGCCAAACACACACACACACACACACACACACACACACACACACACACACACACACATACACACACACACACACGTTCAAACCTATTTTAAGAAAAACAGTTGCTATCATGACTTGATGGGAATGGACTTATGTTGATCTTTACTGATGCTTTTTATTATCAACACTAATCTTTCTTTTTGGCTGGTTTCGAGTTTAACATGTTAAATTTCTTAGAATGCAATGTACAGGTTGATTCAAATGCCGAAAGTCAAATATAATACCCCAGTCTCATTGTCATAACAATACTATACGCCAAAAGCCCCTATAAAGTACGTTTTACTATGGGTACTTGTATTACATTTATGCCTGTCAGATAGACTGGACACACTTTGTCAAAGCCGTAAAGAAACTTGAGAAGTTAATGTTGAAAGATGTGTTTTGGAAACTCTTTTTCAACTGTCCTCAGTTTTGAGGTCATCGTTACATAATATAGCTTTCTAATGTCGAAGAATGATGATTCATCACATTCAAATATCGAACCATTTCCCATGAATAAACACAGTGACAATACAAGACATTGTGTTATAGTATAATGGAAAATCTGAAAAGATGGACATTTCAGTTGCACGTTTCCTTAATGAATCTAAAACAATGACAGTGCTAAATAAAGAAAACAGGCATCCAAAATATAGTACAATTCTGTCTGTGTGTGTTATGGGCAACGTTGAAAAAGATGTGTTTGAGAAAAAAAAAGAAAGAAAATTGGAGACATTCAGAAAAAAAACTACAAGGAAAGGGAGAGTTAGAAAGAAAATGAGAGAACATGTGTTCATGGCTGTGCGCGTTAGAGAGAGAAAGGGAGAGAGAGAGAGAGAGAAACAGAGAGGTACACAGAGAGAGAGAGGCAGAGAGAAACAGAGAATGAGAGAGAAAAAAAGACAGACAGACAAACAGACATACAGACAGACAGAGACAGCGATAAAGAACAGAGACAGAGGGAGGGGGCGAGAGGATGTTGGAGAGAATGGGCAAGAATCAGAGAGAGAAGGAATGTTGAAACAAAAAGGGCGATTTACTAGAAATAGCAACAATAACAAGATACGTTTTTACATATAAAACGAAATAACGATGGGGTCATAATCTCAAACTTAAGGTGTCACAAAGATGATATAACACATATTACAAATCAGTCCTCAGCTTGATTATCTCCAAGCTGGATAGTGCATTGCTGTGCAGAATTATAAAAATCCAAGTCCTTTCAAATCAAATGTGTTCAAAGGTCGAAAGTGTGTAATTAATACTTATCAGTTTGTTACACAACAAAAGTACAGAATCATGATTTCAAGCACCCATCTTTTTTCAGAATGTCTTTTAGGTTATTGAAGAATCCCATCATTGAAGTAGGAATCGCGGAATCCACAAGTGACCTTGGTAGCATCCCTTTGATGTCTGGCTGCACGAAGGTGACCACACGGGAGTGGTCGGGATTTCCAGGTACGGTCAAGCACACATTTCCACTCGGGTAGTTCCATCCACGGACGTACTTGGCCTGATGAGGGCAGTCTGGGTACTCCACGCTGACCGCATTAGTGGACAGACAGTCATCAGTTGTCATGTGTAGAACCAGGTCTACAAAATCTCTAGGTGATATCATACCCAACGCAGCACTGTTGGTCATAGTTTGAATAATCCATAAATTTCTATCCACCTGCTTCAGAATCTTAAACTCTCGAATATCTTTGTCCCATTTCCTCCTCAGTGATCCACCGTCAGCTATGGGGTCAAGGTATTTGTAAACAACTTCTTTAGGACATTTGTATTCCATCTGGCCTCTGTACAAGTGTCCGGTGAATCCCTCGAAAGACGAATGCTTGTATTCTACCGTGATTTCCTTCGTCTTCTTAGCAACAGTCCAGCCTTCGTTGTCGTTGAGGTAGCCGTCAAGGGTCTCGGCGATATGCGCACTGAGTTCCTTTGTTTTCTCAGTATCCATGATTTTTCGTAAAATGGTCTGTTTTTGAAAGAAGACAAAAGCTTTCGAGCTTTTGGAGGGTGCCACTAAAAGATGTTTTTTCTTTGATATCACTCTGCAGCTTCTTTCAGCATGTATTACGTTTTCCTAACACAGTGTTGTAACTGTAATATGCTTCTCATGAACTCAGGCCCTAGACACACAAAAGTTTCCGAAGTGCACCCCGTTGAGGTAAATGTTCGAACTGGTGAACGTTGGCTTTATTTGACAGTTACCTCCGATCAGGTCCAATCGTGTTATCAGAGTATGGCCCAGGTTCTTTATCACACGATGATAGCGAAAATAACTGAAGGGTTTCCTAAAATTGCGATAAAGAGCTGGACAGAGAGTCCTGTACTAGGCATTCGGCGTCACCATCTCTGGGTTAACACATGCCTAACCTGTCTGACACAAACAGGCAGAAAGCCTATAAAATTTGCTACACAGACGAAGCGTCCATCTCTTCCCTTATCACACACTAACCCAGATTTACGTCACCAGTATACCGAGGCCCTTGAGTCCAAAAGGACACGGTAAAGTTTGATATGAAGTTACCTCCTTGCGAACATTTCAGCGTTGACTGTGTTGCTTACAGCTGATATGAATTAAAAACTGTCGGGCCTTGCGTGGATTATGTTTCGTCACTGGTTTTCCTACAGCCTGGTGTGCTGACAAAAACACGATAATGAATGCCCAGCTTCCAGATTAATTCTTATATCAATGTAATGTTTTAATCTTCGTAATTTCAGGGCATGCCCATGTCCACACACGCACTATTGTTCACGTCAAATTTATCCTAATTATTTTGCAGAAATCTAACACAAGCGTAAACACCTCCAGTTCACGAACTTGGAGGTCAGTGTAGCTGTGGAGTCTTCCTGGCTGGCTCTCTCATTGCTATCGATCAAACTCCTAGTTCAAAAACAAAGCACATTGAGCAGAAGGTAAAAAGTAGAATAATGTCAATAACGTCTTACAATCGATGGCAGTAATAGTCTGTTAGCTAATAAAAATCAATGGAAGGAGGCTATTCTCACTGTTTTGAAATGCAAATGCTTGCAGTTTCTTCGGGACATGAGTAGTAGTAAGAGCGTAGTGTGATAGCAAGAAGCGCCTTTTGTGTCACTTAGGTTCATGCAGTACTTATTTTGATTTAATTTATTTACACACTAAGGTCTACAGTTGTGTTAATTACGATCAGTCACTTTGCATCTCCCTCCCCTCCCTTTGTACTAAAGTTTGTATTTTCAAGCCCACTCAGTAGAATGTTAGACGGGTGTCTATCGTGTAGTAGTTAGGTGCTTTCCCGTCGCAAACAGGTGACTATAGTTCGAGTTCTATGTCGGGAGAATGTTTTACAGAGATTTTTTGGTTTGTTTGGTAGTTGTCTTTTCTTGCTGGGACAAGGAATCTCTTTCAGCCTGGGTTGACCCTGACGGCGCAGTCGAAGCTGCATCCTCAATGAATAATCTAAACTGTGCAATAGCGAGTAAAACACCTACATTAAATGTAATGATTAGGATTACAGTAAATGAGCGTCTTGTTATGACATATGGTTAAATTTTTTTTTAAAGCCAGAGGCACACAAATACAGATAGACGCACACATATGACATATGATTATTCCCACTGTCATAAATGTATTTCATATTACCATAATACACCAAGAGGAAGACAGAAACTTGCATATACACCTTTGCGGTGGTAAAGACTATCACAAACCGAAATGGCAGAAAAAGCGCAAAATAACAGAGTAAATGGAATATAGAAAGATAAGCCAACTTTCAGACTTGTCGAAGAGCGTATTGGTTCTCGTTTACAAAGAAACTTAACTTGTTATAGAAAACGGGGGGAGGGGGGGGGAGGGGAGTTAATATTTCCAGTCGTTATTAGCAGGCCATTTAGCCCATTGACTTGTTTTATCATGCTATCCAAGGCTGTGCATTCTGGCTTAATTCCCTGTCACCATGGAGCACAACATTTGGCTCTATTTGGAACCAAATAACGGGTAAGGAGAGATTATAGAGATTGATGTTTTGCGCTTCACGTGTGTGCTTATGGTGCGCTTATCTGCACAGATGCTCACCATTAGCACACAAATGAACGACAAAACACCAATTTCTACAAGAGCAGGAGAGAAAGAAAGGGAAGGATAAGAGAGAGAGGGATAAGAGAGAGAGAGAGAGAGAGAGAGAGAGAGAGAGAGAGAGAGAGAGAGAGAGAGAAAGAGAGAGAGATGTGGAAGTGTGAGCACGCGTCCAAATAAAGTGC